GGCACTGAGCACTATAAAGTTTAATGCTGACATCCAATGCACATTTGGGAGCAGAGACTTCACTGCCAAAGCCCAGCAGCCCTTATTTGCTTTCTGCAAGAACACCACGCTCGACACGCTTCTCAACACGTCTGCACACGTGCAGGGTGTACCCACAGCACAGCTCACGCTGGGGGCAATGCCAGGGTCATCCAGCACTGCCCCTCTGCCACACTGGGAGGGCAGGGATGCAGGCAGAGATCTCTGCAGCACAGGGCACCTCTTGGGCAGGCTGGTCAGCAGCCAAGGTGGCAGACGGCTGCGCAGAGCCCTGTGCTGGCCAAGCAGCGAGGGCAGCCCAGGGCCGCTCCTGCCAGCACTGCGGCGCAGGCCGGAGGAACATCCCTGCTCAGGGGACTGAGAAAGGGCTGAAACCAGAGCACGTCCCCATGCACACATGAGAGAGGGGGTCCAGGCTGAGTCCTCAGCTCTGACCTAGGAGGGATTCTTGTTTTCCTGCATCTAGCTGGGGTCCAAGCCCTGCACCATGATGCAGCACAGCAGAGATCCCCCAAGCCAAGGCAGGATTGAGCCCCACTAGCCTGGGAGCTCAGGCAAACCCTGCAGTGCCCAGACACACCACACTATCTCTCCTCCAAACTCACATAAGCATTTTGTCCTCTCTCCAATGAGTTCCTCCCAAACAGAGCCATTCCTTGTGGCCAAATGCAGGAGAAACCAAGTGCCACCATTCAGATCATCTCCTTCAGGCACCTTCCCTGGCTGGACTTTGGGCCCAGCAGGCCCACACTGCAGCCTCACACTGCCAAGTTGCTTGCATGTAAAGCTCAGTCCCCTACAGCTGCCAGGGGAAAAACACTTCCTCATCACATGTAACAACCCCACAACCGTAATAGCATCAGCAACAGTTGGTCTGTTTGTTTGCTTTTTCTTTTGTTTCATGTCTTCTCTCTTGGGTATTTTAAAGCAGTAAGAGCCACAGCTCTGTCCCAGGAGATGCACCTGCACACAACCCCCCCAGCAGCACCCTCACTCACCGGGCTTCATCGCTGGAGGATTTTGCCACTGCTGTAAGAGTCCTGCATGCAGGGGACTGGAGCTGCAGTCTGTGTCCTCAGGAGCAAATCCAGATACAATGAAGAGAAGGGGAGCAGCCACACACCACAGTGGAGCAGGCCAAAGGCTTGCTGGGTCTCAAACCACAGGCTCAAACCAGAACCTCTTCTGCCTGCTGGGCTTTTAACCCAGCACAACTAGTGGTGAACACCTGGGAGCACCGGGGATGCAGGTAAAGGGGATAACACAGAGGCTGCTCCAGGTGCAGGAGAGTCTAAGCCCCCTCCCTGGCCCTGCAGTCCCAGAGGATGGCTGGGCTAGGGGTGCTTCAGGGAAGGTAGGATAGGAACAGCTCCTGTGCTGTGTTTATAGCACATTTATAAAATCACCCTACCCCCAGTGTAAATGGGGAGGGCTGTGTTACCCCTGCTCTGTCTTCCAGAGGAGCTGGTGGAGGTTCCATCGCTCTGTGAGGGGAAAAAATAGACACCAAGCCCTGAAAGTGCCCCCATCTCCTCTGATCCCACCTGCACACCAAAAGGCAACTGGTCTCAGCTGGAGACACTTGGTGGTGAAGCCCCTCAGGGCTGGAGACAACTCATTCATCGGCTGGGTGAGTGGAGTCACCCAACGCTCTGCACAGTAAAATGAGATTGTTGTGATAATTACTGAGCCTACGGAGGCCAATTAAAATCCTTGGGAGAAAGTAAATTACTTTAATCCGTCTTGGCACAAAGGAGGTGCCGTCCTGCTGCACCAGGGGTGCTGAGGGGCCTTGTTGGTGTTTGGGGTGTAAGAGCCCAAGGGGATTGGTAAGGGAGAGTGAGTCAGGGCCAGGGAAGGGCTTGGAAATTATGAGAAGCGTTTTTAAACTAATTGGGAAGTTCAGAAGCAGCCAACAGGGAGTCACCCTGA